TCTCACTGGCTGCAGGCTCAACTACTTCTTGTTGATTCTGGAATGTAGTGGATTGGAAGAGGCAGATCCTTGGCCTGAGTATTTATATGGTCTCAGCCAATTCCTGAGGGAGAGTGTTCAGTAGGTGACTGAGAAGTACATAAATAGGCTGGGTTCTTGTCCAGAAGGAGAAGAACCCAGCCTGAAGGGTTGCTTCTCTTCTGGGCTGTGTAGCTGAAGTCTGCAGGAGTTCACCGAGGTCCAAGCTCAGTGACAGCTGGAGGGCCTATTTTCTGGAAATATCTGAAGCCAAATTAAGGGGATTCACTGAGAATCTGGCCTGGATATTCACAAGAAAAGTGTCTGGCCAATGTGGAGGCATCTATGTATAGGTGGTCAAAAATGCAAATTAATTAAATACTTGTGAGCCACTAGAAGTTTTCTAACTAATACAGCAATTAATTCCGTGTTTAAAAATAATATTAGATATTGAATGAAGTGAACCAATAAATCAATTAACGTGCTTATTAGATTTTTAGATCGCCAGGTACTGTTTACACCCTCTCTAGGTGTATGGATGTTAATTACCTATATCTATATTGTACCGCGCTCCAAACTATATAAGTGCTCTAAATAAATTATGAATAAATATTGTGTATCACCAATAATTCAATAATAATCTATAACCATAATGCTTGAATCCATAATTGCATAATACTTAAATCCATGATTAAAGTGAATCAAAAAATTCTAATAATATTTGTAAATCAGTGCATAAAAAACTGCGTGCATACAAAACTAATAAAAAGTGAAAAAATGAAAAAATATATAAAAAATAAAAAATAAACTGAAAGAAAATTTATATAAGTGAATAATAGTTCAGTTCATACGAATTGAGATAGTAATGTAGTTCAATCTAATCTGCGTAGTAAGTCAATGTTCATGACATGAACCTCTCTCTCCTTCCTCCTCTCTCTTTTTCTCCTCAACACAGCTTTTCTCAATAAGGACTTTCTCCTCTAGTTGCTTGGCTTATTCCTCCATAACCGATACATACAGAGAAGGGAAAAAAGAAACATAGTGTCTTATCCTGGGTAACAAATGTTTAATGAGCTTCTGATCTCCCACTCACATGGTATCAACAAAAGTAGCGCTTTGTGTAAATATATCCAAATCCTCCTGCAAACAGCCCTGCAGGTGTGTGTATGTTCACTCGATATACTCGCCGTTCCTCTGTGGATGCGTGATGACGTCACCGCCCTTAAAAATAAATCAAATCTTAGATGTGATGGCTGCTTTAGTTTTCTTTCTTTTACTGTATTTTCACCTGATGCTCCTTCTAGTAAGTCCACAGGAGAGCTTGTATGTGAGAGCCAAGGTTCAAAAAGAGGTATATATTCATATTCATCACACAATCACGTTCATCTGCTTCCCCTTTTTTGAAAAGTCTGCTTTGCTTGGGAAATTTCTGAGACTGCTCATTGCCAGACTAGATAATCATTATCTAGTCTGGCAATGAGCAGTCTCAGAACTTTCCCAAGCAAAGCAGACTTTTCAAAAAAGGGGAAGCAGATGAACGTGATTGTGTGATGAATATGAATATATACCTCTTTTTGAACCTTGGCTCTCACACACAAGCTCTCCTGTGGACTTACTAGAAGGAGCATCAGGTGAAAATACAGTAAAAGAAAGAAAACTAAAGCAGCCATCACATCTAAGATTTGATTTATTTTTAAGGGCGGGTGACGTCATCACGCATCCACAGAGGAACGGCGAGTATATCGAGTGAACATACACACACCTGCAGGGCTGCTTGCAGGAGGATTTGGATATATTTACACAAAGCGCTACTTTTGTTGATACCATGTGAGTGGGAGATCAGAAGCTCATTAAACATTTGTTACCCAGGATAAGACACTATGTTTCTTTTTTCCCTTCTCTGTATGTATCGGTTATGGAGGAATAAGCCAAGCAACTAGAGGAGAAAGTCCTTATTGAGAAAAGCTGTGTTGAGGAGAAAAGAGAGGAGGAAGGAGAGAGGTTCATGTCATGAACATTGACTTACTACGCAGATTAGATTGAACTACATTACTATCTCAATTCGTATGAACTGAACTATTATTCACTTATATAAATTTTCTTTCAGTTTATTTTTTATTTTTTATATATTTTATATATTTTTTATATTTTTTTATAATTTTTCATTTTTTCACTTTTTATTAGTTTTGTATGCACGCAGTTTTTTATGCACTGATTTACAAATATTATTAGAATTTTTTGATTCACTTTAATCATGGATTTAAGTATTATGCAATTATGGATTCAAGCATTATGGTTATAGATTATTATTGAATTATTGGTGATACACATATTTATTCATAATTTATTTAGAGCACTTATATAGTTTGGAGCGCGGTACAATATAGATATAGGTATGTATAGGTGGTCATTATGAGTATAGGCCTGAGTGTAGGATCCTAGTTAATGTTCACCACTCTACCCTTTGAGAATCTGCTCCAGTGCTGCTGAATTGAGACCTTTCCTTTGCTTGGAATTCCAGGGTTGCATGTTTTCCTATTGTCTGCCGAGAGGGGAATTATCCTGAAGGGTGTAGACAAAACAAAGAGTGCACAAAATGTGGAGTATCAAAAAGCCCACTCTGCACCTCAGCCAAGTTTAACGAGCATTAAACTATAAAGATATTCTGTGCCTGATCATTGAGTTGTGAGAATGTCCAAGATGTCCAGAGCCCATCAGGGGTCTGCATTACACTTCAAACACCCAATCATGTATGGGATAATTTGAAAATAGTAGAACTTCCTGTTCATACGACTGAATGATAGGAATGTGCACACATCAGTTCACACGCGAGCATACAAGAGAGAGTACAAACTATCTATAAAATTCTTTGGAGAATGTGCATTCATGGAGCCAGCTCAAAAAAATTTAACATGCAGTTTGGCAACTTTATGAGCTGGAGTATAGCTTCCTGGGGACAGATTAGTATAAGATTAGTATAAGACATGAAAAGGGGGCTGGGTGCAGGGAAGTACATTATAATTGTAATTGCACCATTGGTGCAGTTGCATTTTAAATTGATTCTTCGGGGAACTACACTATCAGTATAGCAGAGTTGCAGTAGCAATAATAATACCCATATTTGGTTTTATAATATTACATACTTGTTTGTGCCCCTGCACAAAATTTCTCTATATCTCTAATACAAACTTCTATAAACTGTGCATTTTTTTGTAAAATTAAATGCCTCTGATCTTTTGTCAGTTTTTAGCTGTGGAGACATTGTGAATTTTTTTTAGAGCACACAAAGACATTCTTAAGTGTGTAGTATCTCCTTGTTCCTTCAGAGGCATGGTGGTACTTCCAGAGATGGGGTGGGCCAGCATTTCACCCCAGGACTAAAATGGGGATGAAAAAAGAACATTGTATGCCAGTTACTTTTTGTCTTTTTACACTTTATTTATATCTCATCACACAAGGAGGGAGGGTTGGGGGTCCCAGATACCCAAAGTAACACTTACAGACTTCTCCAGATTCATGTTCAGAATTCAATGTAAAGAGCCTTTAGGCCAACCTGGCAGCACTGCAGATAACTTCTTAAGCTTGTCAACAGACTTCTCTCTCTGGTTCCAGTACCCTCTGTTCAATTTCCTAGGCTTCCATGAATCCACTCCAAAGAGTCACTGGGTCCCTGCAAAAAAAACAGACTTCATCCTGGTTTCCTCCAGCAGGATCCTTCTCCTGCTTCTTAATCTTGGCACAGCATCCCCCCTTCGACCTTCATGACAGCCTCCAGGACCATTACAGATCTAACCCAAAGTCTAAAGCACATGGCAGGCCCCACAAAGGTTACAGGTATAACAGGTCAGATCCCTTCAGACGAACCTGCCCCAACCCAGTGGAAGAGAGACGTCGCAGACCTGTCCCAAATATTTATATCCTCCCCCGGCATGCACCAATGGCCATAAACATCCTACTAGTGGTTGGAGGAAATATACATTTTCATAACTCAGTTTTACTGTAACATATTGCCAGAGGTACCAGCGACACCTACTGGAAGCAGAGCGGAACCACAGTTCCACTGAGCTTAGGGAAAGACCAAGTGAAGAAACAAACTACAAATGCAGCTTGGGCTGGCTACCACCCAGCAAGGCTAAATTTAGGATAGTAGCCCCTATTTAGGACAGGGTGGTATAGATGTACAGGATTATTTTAGCACTACCCCCGCAGAAGCCACTGGGTATGTCAGTTCATCTGTTCTTACTTTGACTTTGGCAAGCTCTTTAACCCCATTGACACCTCAGGTATAAGTTAGTAGAGAAAAATTCGTTATTTTTGTTAATACCTTAGGGTCACCCCGAAATGAGACTGTGCAGAAAATAACAAATGATATTGTTAAATATTTATCAGGTAGACAAGATATGAGAGTAGAAAATGTAACAGAATGAACAATACTCTGAAGAGTCTCTTTAACACACGTCAGACTCAAATCAGACCAGTGTAAACTGCAGCTCTTGTCACTATATGAGCTGAGAAAAGCAACCAGATGGTTACTAACAAGGCTAGGGGCTAAGTTGCCATTGGGCTCTGGGAATGCAAGAGCTAAGTTCAGGCCTTTGTAAAAAAAAGGGTTGTCAGTCTAATAAAAGGTGTGCCTAATCATTTAGTAACTATGTACAATTCTTAAATATAGTCTTCTGCCGGCTAAGTTGGGGCCATTGAAGATGTTGGCACACTGTGGAAGATGTGAGGTATTTCTGCACTCAGTGTAACAGTCTTAAGAAACTATGGGTTCCTTGGAACACTGAAGCGGGAAGGGCCAACAAAGGGGTTAATGTACTGTAGTATATGCATAGATATACAGTATACTTTGATCAACAGGACTAATGGTGCTCAATAGCAAGCAGACAAGGAGCAACAGTAGAGGCGTAGAGCAATAAATCTTCCCAATGGATATGCACAGTAACTAAAAAAGGTCACTAATGGATCAATGACCCACTCACCAGCTCCACTGTGTCTGTAGTAGCTGATTTTCTTCTGATGGCTCCCTTTAAGACAGTATAGATTCTAGGGGGCTTCCTGTAATCTCTGGATTGGTCTGTGTGGCAGCAGTAGCATGCAGCCAACCTGGTTTCGATACTTCACCTCCCTGGCGGTGTGGATAACAGGCCTCAATGCGGAACCTGTTCATGGCAGCCAGTGGCACCCTTTTTTATCTCAGTCCAGTGGTCTGCAACTGATTGAACAGAGAATGCCCTCATAGTGTAATACTGCCTTTATTATTGTCCTGGTTTGCCCGGCAGGTTTAAGCTTAATACTTCCTACATTTTTTTATAATAAAGGCAGTATTACACTATGAGGGCATCCTCTCTCCTTTTGATCCCCATTAGTTTATAGTATATCCATTGTTAAAAACACGACTGAATGGAAGGACTGACAATCAGCAGGATATCAGAAGGATAGAGACATCCACCACCACCAGATAAAGCGTTATTTGACTCCATTGTGAAAGCGAGGGGTCCACCAAATCTGGTGAGTGTGGTCACAAAGGGGGTCACTATAAGAAGAGCACATTTTAAGAGCACTTTTAAAGAGCACCTCTCACTTTATTATGTGGTTGAATTATGAATTTAAATTATTATTGTTTATTGCCACCTGCATACAGTATGTCACTGTGCAGCCAATTAGCTCCGGGCCCCCGATGCTTCTGGGCCCCACAAAAGTCATTATAGCTATAGTTACATCTTTATAAGGTTCATAGAGCCTTACTCAGTAGTTGTATGGTGGATGTCTGTACCTTTATTTTAACATTGTTATTTGTTGGATGAATTTTCTCTTGTCTTAGACAATACTACATCTTTTCACAGCCACACAGCTGGGCCAGCCACCACTAGAAAGAGAAGTAGGTGGTAAGTACCTCTGTCGGGGGGATTTATAGACTAGAAGGAGGCAGGTGTATTGTACAATTAGACAAACCAGAATAAAAATTATATGCAACTTTTGTATACATTTTCTACCTCTAGTTGTCAGAAATACTGATGTATCACATTCACACATCTGTGGTTGGGTTTACAGTTCATGAACATGACTGAAATGAGGTGGTTGACACATGCTGGAATTTAAACAGAAGCCTTCATTGCTCTAGGTGAACACAGGCTGTATTTCACCTGTGACTGCAACTTATCACAGCATGCACAGCAATATGTCTAATCACCAGGCGGCACCAGGCACTGAGTTAAATCTACTGAGATATATTAAGACATGCACCTGGTAAGAAAAAAAAAGTTGCTAATGTAAATGATACATTTATAGTCAATGTCAATAAAAATGTGGGCATGTTTAAAAAGCAGGGACACAGATGTCACAAAGCCAATATAAAAAATGAATATAGAGCAGCTTACAAGTCCTTATAGGTAGCGGCTGAATAATTTTTTTTCCCTTAATTTTTACCTGGTGATCTTGCCAGTAAGATGCTTCTAATCCTGGGGGGCAATGCTCGCTCACCTAATTGTATCTATTATTGCACAGTATCTAAGGAGGAGCAGCATTCTTACCCTAGGACAGGAAAGACTACAGTACACCTCCCTCTCTCCATAAAATAGGGTTGAGGTGTTTTGTAATCAACAAAGAAAACTGGCAACCATGTTAACTGATAAGAGTGTAGCACAGGTATAGACCACATTCATATTTAATATACCAGAAAGAAATAGGAAGGGGAAGTTCGCCAAGGTTTACATACAGTATGTTCCCCAGCAGGAGCCACTTGGTAGAGCAGGTTCTCTGTTTTTCTGCCTCAACTTTGAGACAACCTTAGCCCCTCTGACACAACACATTAAGCAAATGGATACTGCACTACTACTGGGAGCACAACTAAGGTTCAGTATCAAAAAGCAAACATCAGACTGGTTAGTTATAAATGAACCCAATATATTGTCACGGGTTGCAGTAAATAGCAATATGCACATAAATGAGTAAATAAGGGATTAGATCAATCACAGTTCACTAGACAATATGTTTACTAGGCTATAGCAGCATACAAAAGAGATCTATGCAGGTAAATTAGAGTAAACCTGGTAATCCACAAAATCAGCAATAAGAAATAGCATTAGAAAACAGTAACAGCAATGATAATCAATACTGTGATAACTCCTCTATAAACAGTAGGCTATGTTCACTTTAGAGTGGGATTAATGTTGTTGATTTACTGAAGGCAAATAGAATGTGCACTTTGTAAAGTGCAGTTGCACATTCCAAATCATGTGCAAATGAAAATGCCATTTTTTTTATTTACCTTGAACATGATTGGGTATTCTTTGCAAAGCAAAGCTTTACCTCATTTACTAAGCTCTGGAGCAACTGCGCTTACAGAGTGCATCTGCACTTTGCAAAGTGCACAGAGTATTTGCCTTTAGTAAATCAAACCCTATATAAATGGCAGCGATAAAACCTAAAACTTCCTAAAGAGGTGCCTCTTACTATGGACAATAGGCCAAAAGATCTTGTGAAGCAGCTGAGTGCACAGTCGTTAGTCCTAGTTCTTCAGCCGGCTAGCATTGGGGTTCAGTCTATACAGAGGTGCACATGAGTACAGTCCCAGTAAATTCTGCATGCAGTAAATAATGCTGCCAGTTAGATGGTCAGTCCCTATGTGCTCAGTCTCTGCTAGCAGCAATAGGTTAATAGCAGCAGTGTCCTCTCAGCAGTCCTAGCGATACAGCAACAGAGATCTCACAGTTCAGATGGATCTGCCTGGACTGACTTCGGTCCTCAGCACACAGCTGTAGGCTTGTAGCAGGTTGATGTACACACAGGAGCAGCGACATGCACACTTTGGTCTCCTCACAGCAAAGAGGAAATCCCTCAATATTCAGCCTGTACAAATACAGCTCTCTCTTTATACCCAACTCACATTGCATTGGGAATTGTAGTTCAATAGGCCATGAACTGCCATAGCAGGGGCGGACTGACCATTTGGAAGCTCGGGTCAGTAGGGGGCTCCATGAGATGCCCCTGGTACCTTTTTCATAGGCTTTTTTAAGTTTGGGCAAGGACCCAGGGGCCCCATGATCCCCTATTGCCCGGAGGCCCCATGAGTTGTCAGTCCGCCCCTGTGCCACAGTAAACTTTCTTTCTCACACTTCATCTCCCATGATTCAGTGCAGCCAACCATCAAGTCTGTTGAGCTCATTTTGCTTGTCAGCTCCCTCTGGTGGATGGACGTGAGGTAGTGTTAACCTATTCAGCTGAAGTCCATTAGAAGCACAGGGAGCACCACAGTGCAGTGTCCTAAATCGCTCTCTGTCTCTCTAGCCAAGCACCTGGCTACACATAATACTTTATTTATGAAGCTGCAGTAAGATTTATATCACATAAATACATATTTCTCCTTACAGATGAAAGAAGGCTGCTAGTATCTGTTCCCTAGTTCTTCTGAGTTCCGGGTCAAGACATCTGGCACAAAGTTTACGAAAAAAAAAAAAAGAGAAAACATACAGAGGGATAATACACTAAACATGTGTTTACCCTTTTGCTGCTAGACAAATGTTTCTGCTTTGCTAAAATGTTCATTACTGACTTAAAAACTTGGTTAGATGCCAAAGCTATATATTTAGGAGACCTACAGAATAAAAAGGTTGCTTATGTTGCTCTTGGTCCAAATTTAAATATAACATCCCGTTTGTGACGGAGCGTAGGCAGGACATAACACACAGAGAAAGATGATGAACACTCAAAGCTTTATTGAATTATGACAATCACTCAATTTGGGTCTGAGGGTAGCCTCCAAGTCTCTGGAGCAGGGGGGAGGAGCAGGGAAGGGCCAAGGTAATTATAATCCAGGCAGGGAAGAGTAAGGGGGGAAAGTTCATGGACAGTCCATACAGGGGAAAATCAGGGGCAAATGACACTCACAGTTCTGGCAGGGGTTTTTCCTGGCTCACAGCAGCCAACAGCAGGTAGCGATACTTCTCAGCACACAGCAGAGGATCCACACAGCGGGTATTTCTAGCACACAGCAGCACGGGCAATCCTGGCCCCACAGTATTAGGCAGGGTAGCAGCGGGTACTCCTCCTGAGCCCCGAGTATTAGCAGCCTCAGCACACAGCAGCACGGGCAATCCTGGCCCCACAGTATCCGGCAGTGTAGCAGCGGGTACCCCTCCTGAGCCCCAAGTATTAGCAGTGTTCAGTGGGTAATAATTCTGAGTCTCCCAGAATATTATGCAGAGTGCCCAGCGGGTAATATTCCCAATATCTCCCAGAGTATCATGCAGAGTGCTCAGCGGGTAACAGACCTGATATCTCCTGGGGTATTGTGCAGAGTGCCCAGTGGGTAATATTCCTACAATCTCCCTGGAGTATTATACAGAGTGCTCAGCGCGGTTGGCTGCGGGAGTCTCGCCTCAGCGCAGACCTCCCAGCAGCTTCGGCAGCGGATGAACAACCCGGAGAGTCCTGCGCCGGCCTTATTAAAGCCGGGCAGGACTCTTCCTGGTTGCCTTGACAATGTCCGGCCCAGCGCCGCATTGCCGGGCTATGAGGCATGCCTCCTTGACATGGGCCGCGCTCTCGAGAGCGAGGCCTTTGTCTTCGGCGGGTGCAGGGCGCGGGAAGCCCCCAGCGGGGGGGTCACCCCTCTCCTGGCTATATGGCCGTAGAGGTGTGAGGTCCGCCGCAGGGGTCACTTTCCTCCCATCCTGTGCAGTCTATCTTCAAAGGCTGCGTTAGGATGTGAGGAGGTGACAAGGGCCAGGGGGGGTGAGGTGACCCTTCTCATCCTGTGCAGCCTATCTTCAAATGCTGTGACAGGATGAGGAGAAGGTGAGGGGACACAGGGAACACACAGGCACCGGGGGGGCAGAAGAGGAGCAGGCACTCTGTGACACCTGTACATGGGCAAACCTGCAAAAAGCGTACTGCAATAAAAAAGCCTATTGTGTAATAGGCATTTACTTACGTGTGTCCTTATGGTATGTATGTATATGAATGTGCATCCATGTGAAACCTATCATAAGAGTTATATGAAGTCTGCCAATGTTGACCTTTACTTTTGTAAATGCTA